AATACAGACCTCATTTTTCCTGGTTGCACCGTCGTCCCGTATCCTGTTATTTTCACCAAGCGACATTGGTGAGGGTGCAACAATATTTATCTATCATTCTCATATAAAAGATCATAATTATGTGCCACTTTGAATATTGCAGTTAGTGTTGTAATTTTACCGGCAAAGCTCTATAATTGTATCTCTATCTCGAGGTTGTGGTAATTATGGTACTTTTAGACAAGATAGACTTGTTTAATGCTGGCCTTTATCAAGACTTTCGTAACGTATTTTCTCCACAAAAATGACGCTGGGAAAATGGAAAAGATCACATGACAAAGAAAACGTTGTTCCATAAACGGAAATCGAACCCATGACCTTTCGGTCCGTCACAATAGATGTGTGGCACGTTACTAATAGATGTGCGGCATGATCAGTTTTTTCCTTCCCTTTAGTGCCTATCTACATGCTTCAGGCATTCACAAACAAATAGATATCATACAAAGTAGAATAAAGATAACTACATTTTATTAAAATAGAAAAAGAAATAAAGAAGTTTTCATCATTGTTTCGTGACGGCTATGCCTTTCTACTTGGTTGTTGCAATATAAAAAAAACAGGAAACAAAAAATATATACATACATACAGTTCTACATCGGTAAGTTTGGGAACGATCTTCCTGTTACCATTTACGGAACATTCTACTGTGTAAGCCTAAGCCAGAATGTTTTAAGCCATGTAAAAAAATGCAGGTAAAACCTGGAATGAAATCCTTTTTTTCCAAATTACCCACTGTAGCTTTGCCTGTGGAAACATGGATGCAAGGAAAGGGCCTATTCCTTCTTTGAGCAGGACATTTGTTTTCTCCGCAATAAGCTGGAGACAATCGAACATGTTTTACTTGACTGCTCCGATGTGGTCTTATTCTGGCATGTTCTTCAACAGAATTTAAAAAAAAGGGGGTCTGCCCTTTGATGCCTACAGCCTCCGATTTCTCCCAGTAGCAGGTGAGGTAGGTTTTCCATTTGATTTATTATGTTACTGGGTCTTCACAGTATTTGGTAGTCTAAAATGGCAGTGCTTATGTGACTACTCATTTCAATCTATATATTTATTAGTGAAAGCACAAAGGGTTAAACGAAATTTGCCCGAATGACTTCAAGTAGAAAGCCTTCTACATAGGAATTAATGTTAAAAAACCTATACTCTGTGACTCTTGTTAATTTTTTTTGCTCGTATTTGTCCTTTATTTGGTATATAATTCGTTTCGCCATAATTACACTCTGGTGAAACTTAACAAAAGCACATTTTATATCTACCACTTCCCTCTGACAGTCATCTTGTTCGGCATGGTGTCGTCGGAGCCCTGGGAGTGGTAAAGTCAAATAATGCATCATGATCCTAGAATAATGCATCATGACTCATTCGGCGCGTTTCCAATAGGTGATGCGAACTTCAGCGATGTTTCCGCACACCGATGGGGGCGACCTTCATATGATTCATATCATCCATACATATCTAAATAGGTCTGATACTTTGTCTTTAGACGAGAGCTTGACTCACCTGGGTATAACCGACAATTCTAGAACCAGTACGTTCTGAAAACGTTGACTGTGTCAGCGTTCCCCAGCCAATGAGAGAGAAATAACATTTATTTGCATCTGTCAAGAAGGACGGGGAGAAAGTTTTAATGAAAAATTGCAGCAGGGTTACAGGGAAGATATGACGCGCTTTGCATTTCCCTCTAGTCCAGCTGCTGGCGATCAACAACTATATTAACGGTGGTTGATCTTGGTATGCATAACCTTAGCTCAAGTTAAGCATTTATAAGGGTATAATGCACCACGACAAAGACACAAAAAGAGAGACGAACACACACACACAGTGCTAATTTGGAACTAATGTGTTATTTGCGATCACATATGCTATTTATACAGTAACAGTAGACCGATAAAACCTGGAACATATGTCAAGATACAGCACACCTAATGCACGCGTCATCATCGACTGTGACAATCTGCACTCGCCAACGTCAAAGTGAAGATTCTAGATACTTTTTTCTTAGCTGACAAAGCTAGGAAAGCTACACTCATAGATTTTTCTTCCATTTTGACAATTTCAAAAGCTTCAATGATTTCACGCGTAGTTCTGTTACGGGCTCCAAAGAAAATACGGGCGTTTTCAAACTATACTCTAATAAATGATGAACCCCAACCAACATTCGACGTTGTGTGAAAGCTCTTTTCAACGTAGAGTAAATGTTCAACTATTTCTGTAACGACACTTGTTACCTTCGTGATAAACCAAATTGCTATCAACCATAGCTTTCTTTTCTTGTTGGTGAAGAGCAATCGCAATGGTTCCTAAATAAAGCTTGTGAATATTTGTTTTTGGGGAAATGTTGTTGAAGTCTTGGGCATGTTTAGAAAACAATACAATTGCTTTTCTAGGCCTGGTTGCGAAATTACCGCCTTACCATTTGAAATATATTCAAAGAGTATTCAATTTGTATTTCTATTCGGTTGGGTGTTATCGCTGTTCTATTGATATCCAATTAGATTTACAGGCTCACTGTTGCACAACCCTAATAAAGGTATATTAACAAGATGATTGTGAACCTCGCAGCACATGCACATGTGTCTTTCTGCGCATCATCGAAGTTCATATGATTCACCAACACGCCCACATCGCAACCTTTGTAAGACAGACAGACAGACAGACAGACAGACAGACAGACAGACAGACAGACAGACGACAGACAGACAGATCAGACAGACAGGACAGACAGACAGACAGACAGACAGACAGACAGACAGACAGACAGACAGACAGACAGACAGACAGACAGACAGACAGACAGACAGACAGACAGACAGACAGACAGACAGACAGACAGACAGACAGACAGACAGACAGACAGACAGACAGACAGACGACGGACAGGACGGACGGACAGAATAGACAGACGGACGACAGACAGACAGACAGACAGACAGACAGACAGACAGACAGACAGGACAGACAGACAGACAGACAGACAGACAGACAGACAGACAGACGACAGACAGATAGACAGATAGACTAGATAGATAGATAGATAGATAGATAGATAGATAGATAGATAGATAGATAGATAGATAGATAGATAGATGCAATGTTTTCAGAAGTGCAGTTGTTCTTACGTCACATGGCCTGCAACAAAATGGACGCAGTGCAGTTCGGCCTTCAAGTCCGTGGAGAACAGCAGTTAGTAGTTTATTGCGGAACTGCAACGCGTCTAAATCATTGGCAGTTCACAGTCCATTAGTTGCGTCAGAGAGCTGGGCCAGCTGTAAGGCAATAACATGAAAGTCCAATTAGTTGTTTGGCCACTTTCTTGAATCTTTTAACTATTAGTCTTCAAGCTTTCATGATTTCCGTGATTGGTCATTGCGGCGTGTCACAGGGCTGCTTAACGCGTTGTGACACACCGATACTAATCAAGAGATGCTCGGAAGAAACAATTGCCGGCTATGTATTTCAGGCCATCCCCGCCTGCTGCAACACCACAACCACTGAAGCATATATACTCTGAGACAGTGTGATTTTGTTATAAGCTATAAGTATCACAACACTTATCAATTTCTCAAGTACGCGCTGTAATTAACTCTTGTTTTATAGGTGCGGAAGCGCATACGTGATATGTGTGAAAACACGTACTCGATGTCAGTATATTTAAAAATGTCCGCGCATAATGAAGATTGCTCGTTGAGTAACTATGTTTAACTGACCACTTTTTTACTGCAATATTGTGAATAAATTTTTTGAAGAAATTTTTCCCCATTTACAAGAAACAGCTATACGACATGTTTGATCATGTGTCGAGTGACACTGTCACGTGTACAACTGTCACGGAATAAAGCAGGACAATTTAGGGCTAAGCAACACGCATGTACTTTCGTTTACGCATTCTCCAGTTGAGGTCATATTGGCGTTATAACTTCGAGCCGAACGTGCAGATCAGAGTCAACAATAATGTTCTTAGATAAAATTAGTCAAGACATGATGGGATTGTCTCAAGCAATTGCGTGTACCAGTGGTCACAGTAAAAACGCTTTGCTGTCATGCCGGAATTCATAGGTACTCAACGTGCGCCAATGATTTTCAGAAGCTTCCCCAGAAGAGAGACAGTTTATCTTCCCGCGAAGACATCCACCAAAATGACATAGTCTTGTGTTTACCGCGCCAATTTGGAGCGTGTTTTTATGCTCTATTTTTTGTGCACTAATTGTTAAGCTCATACTTGCTCTTCGTTTGTCAATTGTCGAAATGTTATCAAAGCTGGCTAAGCACATGCAGGCACTGTATTCTGAAGGGCCGGTGTGCCCGTCTTCATTAAAGAAAATTCATCTTCCATTGAAGGAAGCCCATACAAATTGAAGAAACACGAACAGTTGCTATCAAGTGGCACATACAGCAAGTACATACAGCAAACGTAATAAATATAACCCTCGAAAGCCACAACTTTCGCCACAAAACGTGCTTTGTGATGGTTTATTTTTGAGCTGTTTGCTTTCTGAATCGCGCTATTTACGCAGTGTTTTGAGACAGCAGCAGTCACGTGCGCGACTTATATCCTCTGTCTTCTTCTGCGAAGAGCTCTATCTATTCTTGTTTCTAACATATTATTTGTTTTTGTTTGGTGAGTTGTAAGAATGGCACTATGCTCATGCTCTCCGCGAGTCTCATTTTGCGCGCCCGCCACGCACGTCGCCAGAGCATACCCCACGACCGCGAAATCGTCCCCTTTGGAGCCGACTCGCCAAGCGACTGTATTCTCCCTCTTTCCCCTATTTTTTTCCTTATTTCTCTCCCCATCCGACGCGTCTTTCGGTCGGCGTCGGGGCGGTTTGCGGCTCACGTGGTCCATCGTGACATCACCGTGACGTCAGAGCTACGCCCGGTGCTCCCATTGGTCGCGACGTGAGCTGGCGGGGAAGGTGGGTTCAAAAGCGCCGGCCCGGGTTCCGCACTTCGGGAAAAAAGTTGGGAGCGCACCAGCAGCCACATCCCGAAAACCGACTCCGACCGCAGGGAAAGCGCTTGCTCTTTGTCCCGGTCTCCGCTGGCCGGTACCGTCACTCTACGAGTTAAAAAAAAGAAACACAGCCGTCTCGGTTCGTATCGCCTTCAAAGCCGTCTACGTCGATCTTCCCTCCGGTAAACGGGAGGGCTTGCTGTCAGCCAACAACTTCGAGAGACTCCAGCGAGAAACACTTCGTCAAGGTGAGTAACCAACTTCGTTTGTCTTTTTCTTCTATATACTGTAGATTATAGAGTAAACTTGCAAAGGCACTGCAGATAAGTTCACATGTTAAAGCTTGCGGGGGGAGGGGGTTGCTTTCGTTAAACCGATGTTTAAAACTTTTCCGCGAAATCGTCATGCACGTGCTAACCGCACTCAGTGGACTGTCAGCGTCTCCCTACCCCGAGCATGTGTCGCGCGTGGAAGAGAACACGTGAGATAATTGCCTTTTGCAAAGACAGCTACATACGGCTCGTAGCACTCACTTGAGTGCTCTCGGTGGCTGTATGGAACTTTGTAGTTGTCGATAATTTACCTTAACATGAAATTTTTTGTCCTAAGCGTAGCGTAAGAGACAGATGGTTCTTCGTAAGGGCCATAACAGCGTAAGAAGTCAAAGAATTGGGAACGTTGTCTCGTGGAAGTTGTATATATCTGGTTTTGAGATGCCGAAGAAAATGTGTCAGTGAAAGTAGATTTTCACGGCTGAAAAAAAAAAGTGCATTTTGACGTGGCCTAACTTGGAACATGGAAATGCCACACGCGTTGAACTTGTTAAATAACCTATCGTTATTAATTTAGTTTTCACCCAGTATTGCTAGCTTTCAACGCTTATAGATTGCGAGTGTTTTTGTATAGCCTTAAATAAATAGGTAGCACGATCTTTTTGTTGTAAAATGCTGAAAAAATGCGTCTAAAAGTATTTTGTATTGTATAAGCTTGTCATAATAGTACAGACTGTTTTACGTGTTTACAATACGAATATTCACCATATCTCCAATATATAAAGTAATTTAGCTGTGTCGTTATTGTGGTAATACTTTTATTCCAGAGCTTTGGATACTCGAGTACCATATCTGTTAAATCACCTGGGCTTTGAATTTTGTAGCATGCAATCGAAATTTCTTTCGACAGCCTAAAGTAACCTTGGCTGTCGCGGACTATTAAATTGTCATTCTTCTGAGAAAAAGTGTTGCTTGCTTAGAATCCTCAGAGGCAAAGTATTGGAGGTAGAGCTAACTTAATGTTGGTTTTAAGACATCAGAACACTCGGATAGAATGGAGTGCAATCATAAGTTGCTTTAGTTGTGGCTGCTCGTAGTAGTGAAGTTGCTCAGCTGTGAGCGAGACGGCTGCAAGACTCGAAATATCTCGGTGTCCTTCGAACAAATAGCAAAGGAGCTCTTTTCCAAGTGCATAACAGCATGGTGAAGCAACGATTAAAAAAAAAAACAAGAAGCAAAGTGGAGCGCATAAGGCACAAGACGAATATCGGACTGCGTGGTTTGCATGAAGAAAGACGCCCGAGGCATGGCCGTGCCGGAGTGGATGTAGGCGTACGAAGCGAGCGACACAAGAGAGGCTCGGCGCAAATGGCAGCATCTCAAACAAGAACGCGGCGGTTGCTACTCGACGATGTAGAACAAAAACGAACTGCGCGGTTTGCATCGAATGCATGAGTCAGTGTCTGAGGGAACAATACTACAGGATACCGACGAAGATCCTAAACTGAATTGAAAGTGGACGACGTATGTTCCCGAAGCCCGTATCGGTGAGGCTGAAGGCCTGCTTCTGATAATGCAAGAAATTACGCTCGTAGTGATTGTAAATGCTGAACGCAGTTGCGCAGAATGTATCGTTGCTGTGATTGCGTCTCTTTTATAATCGTGGTCAGAGAGAAATGTGCAGTGTGTAGGCTTACTCTTCGGTGTGAAGCATAACAATGCGAACAATTGAGATGAATCTACCGCGCAGTTGAGAAGATTTGGGAGAGTTTTTTTTTTCCGATACTTGCGTAAAGAAAAACGATTAGATTCAAGGCAAAAAGCTGTAAAGGCAGCCTTAATAGTGTCAGAAAGCAGAAAAAAATATATGACCTTTAGTGAAACTTAGAAGTGTGGCAGTTTGGGCTAGTTGGCGTGACATAACGATAGTTATAGCGCAAAAAACAGAACAACGACAAAGAGACGAGAGGACACGAGCGCTAATGTCAGCGCTCGTGTCCTTCTCGTGTCCTTCTTGTCTTTTTGTCGTCGTTCTGTTCTCGCGCTGTAACTATCGTCCTTAGTGGAACTTTTACCTGAGTAACATGCGTTACTGATTGCCTACAGTAAAGGTGGGACCTCTTTCGACCGAAGCGCCACTGAGTTGTATAGGTGGCGCTTGCTTCTAACTGTGTTCGCACAATGTTGAGAAGCCTGGCGATATCTACCCTTTTTTGTGCTCCTTACTAGGAGCGTATTCTGTAAGCGTCCACTAATTAGGCTGTGAGCTGAAACACTCACTGATTGAACTGAGCTTGAGTATTGCCCTGGTTACGAACTCATTCGTCTCTTCTTGATCACCACCCAATCAATGAATACCGAAAAGTGAGAGTTCACCGAGCGGACCATTACAGTACGCCATTCCCTGTATTTAGAGCGAAAAGAGTTTTTTGTGCTCCCCATTCACAAAAAAAAAGTTGTTTCACTGAGGCATTTATAGATGACAAATGTAAGGCATTAGTGACGGTGAAGTTAAGGGTAAAACTATGGATTTCCAACGGGGTCAGCTAAAGCCTGATGAAAAGAGTGAAATGTACGCTGATTAAGGTTAAGCTGGTAAGCACTGATGTCGTAGTCCAGATTACTTTTAAGCACCTGAGACTTCGTAACGTTGGACGAAATTTAAGCCCCTGAGACTTCGTACGGCAGGATGTGCTTGAGTACTGTCTCTTATTTGACTGGGTCACCGATGCAGGATATTGAACACTCCACGATGCTGTAAGCTGCGTGCTTAGCTGGTACTTCGTTGGGTGAGACTGCGAGTTCTTTTTTCTGGTTAACGTTGAAGGTGTAATTATGTTCTGGTGTTTAGGACAACAAAAATTAAGGTACGATTATGGGCCACCCCTTAGTTGGGGACAACAAATTAGTTTCGACCAGCTTACGATTTCCGTATTGTGTGTGCGTAAACCCAATTACACGAACTTCTTTACATTTAGCCACTCTCCGTAAATCGAACCCGCCCCATCGTTTTCACGCAAGGACATAGATACTGAACTTTCACAGCAGCTCTCGTTAACGCTCGACATGTAGACAGCTTGCTTCGTCGTACTTTCAATTTGTACACATTTTCCTTCATAATATTTGAAGCCTTCTATGTAGCAATATTTAAAACTCTAACATTTGCTTAAGACATCCAAGCAAATGAAATGCCCCTTTTTCCTTCCTTCCTTGTTTTTTATCAAGCCACGCAAAGGTCGCTGCTAAGCGAAAAGAACCAATGTCTATACTAACAACAATTCTGAGGAATTTTGTTCCTTAATTTGTTTTCTATCTCAAGTATTAGGACCTTTTCCCAAATTGGGCTAAGTTACTGAGCTTGTGATTCGACTCCTGCAAAAATAGAATCACTTGACTATACCGCTATACTATGTGATCCAATTCAATGAGTTAAATGAATAAATTAGCGCAAATTCATGTATGTCAATGCTTCTTTCTCCTAACTTCCATTGTTTCAACTTTCCTCAGTAAAATTGCTCACGCTTACTTATGCACAAGGGCTTAGCCGCACATTTTGTTTGGATAATGGAGAATTCTTAACGAGTGAATAAGTCCAATTTAGTTGCACGTTTCCGCACTGGACTCAGTACACACTAAAAGGCTCCAAATATGCCGGTTTTATTCTTCTTTTTTTTACCATAACTTCATGTAACAATGCAACTCCACATTTTATGCCTGAAATAACGCGACAAATTGGCGGAAAGAAGTACTGTAGAGTATGTACACACACGTATAATGTTTCCCCACCCAAGGTTTTTCCTTTTTTTCTTTGCGCCAATTTTCCCGCACCACTTCAGGCGTGAAAATCGAATATGAGGGAACTAGTCTACGTCAGAATGGCCTTACATATGCAACTACAAAAGCGTAAGTGTTCAAAAGTATTGCATACACAAACTGCATCTAAAGAAAGTAGACTTTGAAGAGAGGATAAGCCGAATGGGGCTCGTTAGTGCGAGTTGTATAAACATGGGTACAAAGAGAGAAAAAAAAAAAGGATGTATTCTTGAATAAAATATTGCGACATTTATCAAAATCAGGCTTTTTTTAAATATCCGGGACAGGGTGTTCAGTGATCGAGCAGATCAGGGGCACAAAATGTGGAGCAGACGGGCCGAATAAACATGAGCGCACGCTGGTTTACTCCCGAGTGACTCGGTATAGACGGAAGCCTTTTACTGGAAGAGGGACCTAGTGGGAATAACGAGTTCAAGCGTTACGCTTGACATCGGGCTTGATCTCACTGAAGGCGAGCTTAGTGCCAGCTCTGTCTGCTCGTTTTTTTCTTTTCGCAGCTATTTCTCATTCTTATGCTTCTTCAATCGGAGCTGATTCCTTTAATATGCTACTGCGAGCAAAACAAAATTGATCAGAAAATATTGCTTTGTATTTTAATATGCGTATTTGACAAACTGGAACATAAATTTTTTTTAACAGTGGTGCACCAAGTCCCCTATGCACTGCGATGGGTTATATATATGAGATAAAAGAGACGACGGTCAAGCACTCTTGCTCTTTCTTTGCAGTGCATCGAACTTTATGCAAGCCTTTGCTAGAATTTTGCTGTCTTATTGTGGCGGACATAGCAAAATTGCCTACCACGAGGTCTGTGCCTTCAAAGAATGATGCATGACCTGAACAAGTTGGTAGTTCACGATGTCGTCTTAGCGCAAAATATGTGTGTACGAGGGACGTAATGAATGCGACCTTCACATGTGTGTCGCAATCATGTGAACCGGCATTCGCTTCGTCTCTTGGTCAAAAGGTTTCGCGCTGAGACGACATCCTGTATCTGTCGTTGTCTACAAAGCTGACTAACAAAAACTACCTTCATTATGCTGAGAAGTAGTTCCGTTATTTGTCATTCCGTCAAAATGCGTTTTGAAGTCCCGAGGACGTTATACAAGAAACATGTTGTGTATTTTGTTAACAGGGTGATG